GTCCACCAACTAATATTCATTCAATGCCCTCTATCTTCCAGGCACTGTGCTAAGTGCCATGGGATACAATGAAAGGTAAAACAGTTTCATTAGTCCAAAGGCTAATGAGGGAGACAATGTGCAAATAAGCATGCACAGATAAGATATGCACAGGATACATCTGTGGTTAATCTCAAAGGGAAGATACTAAGATTAAGGAGGAATGGAAAAGGATTTTTGTAGAAGGTGGGACTTGAAGCTGAAGCTTGAAGGAAGCCAAGAAAGGTGGAGGTAGAGATAATGAGGGAGAGAGACCATGAGAATACCTAATCAAGAGATAAGAGTATTATAGCAAGAAGGCCAGTGTCACTGGATAGAAGCTTTTAGGGAGGAGAGAAGTATAGAGAGAAGGCTGGAAAGAAGATATAAAGGGCTTTAAAAGCCAAACAGAGGATTTTATTTTTTGTCTTGGAGGCAATAGGAAGCCACTGGAGTTTATTGAATGGGGGTGGGGTGAGATAATCAGACCTGTGCTTTGGAGAGAGACAGGTTTGTCAGCTGCCTGGAGGATGAACTGGAATAGGGACAGAATTGAGGAAGACCAGCCAGCATGTTATTGCAATAAACCAAGAGTGAAAAAATGAGAGCCTACACAAGGGTGGTGTCAGTCTGAGAGGAGAGAAGGGGGCATATTTGAGAATGTTACAAGAGGTGGGAGTTTGGGATGAATAATGAAGTTGGTTTTGGACATGTGGAATTTAAGGTGTCTAAGGAAGATCCAGTTCAAGATGTCTAATAGAGAAAGGGGCTCAAGACTAGATAGATCAGGAATGAGGTTAAGGCTAGATAGGTAAATCTGAGAATCATTTGCACAGAGATAATTAAAACCATGGGAGCTGATGAAATCACCAGGTGAAATAGTAGAGAAGGAGAAAGAAAGTGGGCCTAGGACAGAACTTTAGGGGATCCCCAATGGTTAGTGAGCATGGTAAAAATAAAGGCCCAGAAAAGCAGACAGAGAAGGAGCAATCAGACTGGTAGGAGGTTAATCAGGAGAGAGAAGTGTCAAAAAACTTAGAGAGAAGAGAGTATCAAGGTGAAAAGGGTTATTGACACTGTCAAAGGCTGCAGAGAAGTCAAGAAGGATGAAGATTAAGAAAAGACCGTTAGATTTAAAAATTTAAGAGATCATTAGCAACTTTGGACAGACACCTTTGAAGCCACAGCTCAAAACATAGGTCTAACAGGACACACTGGGGAAGGTTTCAGGAATTAGGGTAGATGCTGCCAGTCAAGGCTCAGAAGTGAGTCTGGATTGGCATTAGGGAGAACTATCTAGTAATTAAGGTAGGAATTATGTAGTCATGACTCAAAATGTGGGGTTTTTTTTCCCAGTGGTAATTACCTATATTGGGATGGAGGAGGAGTATCCTTTTGCATCTTCATCTTGTTATTTTAATTCTTTTAACTGGTACATTTTTTTCATTGCTCTAAAATTGGGGGGGGGTGTTAGGAGTTAGTCTGAGATGCAACCTATAACTCTGCCATTTTGTTGAAAGATAAACCAACCCTCCCATTTTCTGGATGAATAATCTGAAGTCTAGCGAGGTTCACAGATTTTTCCAAAGTTACAAAACTAGGAAGTAACACAGACAGAATTAAAATCTAGGTTTCTTGACTCCATCAAACATTTTTTCCATGACACCTGAGTAACCTTCAGATTACATGCAACTTATTTATAAAGTCCTATAATGCAATACAATTCCCTGAAAGTCACAGAGTTAGCTATAATCCAACTGGCTGCTATCTTTTTATTTTAATACCCTGCAGCTGCATTTAGGCTGAATATTCTTTCACTGTACTTTGAAATTTAGACATGAATCCAGGATTCTAGGATTGTTCCTGGGGACCAAACGATATTTAGGATCCAATCTATTGGGTCTCCTCTGATCCACAGACACTCTTTACCTGGAAAGTATTTGTGTATCTGGGACAATTCAAGGAAATGCAAAGAATTTTATATTTGGACCAAATAGAAACCAAACCACTGCTCCATATCCAGCTCTCCTCAACTTGTCCTTTCCTGCTCACCCATTACTTGCAGTTTTCCCGTCCTGTGCCTGAAATGCATTCTTTTATTATCTCTGCCATTTAGAATCCCTTGTTTCTTTCATAACTCAGCTCAAGCTCCTTCCCACCCCTTTTTCTTTTGCTTTTCCTGATCCTCTAAGCTATTTATTTCCACTCCCCAAGTTACCTTGTATTCATCATGTATATAGTTTACATATATTTATATATGTACAGGTTGTCTCTTCTCCAATAGAATATGTATCCTCAATACCTTGTTCCAATGCCTGATACATGATAGGCATTTAATAAATGCTTATTAATTGACTCTCTGGCTGAGTTCAAAGAATTTATACAATGATTATGTTTCCAACCTGCTCCCATAGTTTAGGATCCAGGATGGTAGGCCCTACAGAGGTGATAAGCTATGGATACAGCAAATTTCTCCAAGATAAATAAAATTATATGTCCATGTTTAGTACTCTTGAGGGATAATTCTTGTATGCCTACATAGGGAACTGATTTTAAAAGTTTCTTGATCAATTTGACTAGCTTATTGAAAACTTTTTTGGGGAGCAGGAGGAGAGGGATGATTTGTGATTATAAGAGGTGATTTGTGAAATTACCCAGTTTGGTGATGGACCTTTGTTTGGATTGCACCTGCCTAAAGAACAGAAATACATGGATAGATTTGGGTGGCAGGATGCAGTCCATGAATTTGGATGGGAAAAAATTATATATTTTCCCTAATCCTTAACTGAAACTTAACATTTCCTTTAATTATGAATGTAGGCAACAACCAGTATTCTGAGAAGGGATCCCACAGGCTTTACTAGACTTTCAAAGGTGCTCATGACACACAGAAAAGTTAAGAATCTCTGCTATAGAGAGTATGGAAGTGCCCCTTGCTGCCTTCTGGAGAGTGTGGTTCACTGATTGGAACTACCACCAAGGTGAATTGGTTAGATTGGATTCTCAGAAGAATAAATTCTTGTCAGAGGAGCTGTCCCTTTGTGATAGCCTATAAAAGGTGTCTTCATTGAGACAAATGTTTTCCTTTTTGATTTTTTTTTTCTGGAGAGATCCTGAAGGTGTGATGCAGAATGACTGCCCATCCCCCTTCCATCCCTATAAAAAACTATTAAGGTGTTAAGGGAGAGACTTGTGGCAGAGGTAGCCATATTTTCATCCATATGGCCCAAAAGGGGATTTCATTCCTGAATACTTGCCTCCTAGCTAAAAAAGGGAATTTCCTAGGACTTATGATCTTAGAAACTAGATTCCTAGATATAGGTGGGGATTTCCTGGCAGTGCTAGCTTTGTGGGTTGCCTCACTGGTAACTGCAGGTTCAAGAGTCATGGAATTTGGATTTCTGTCTAAAGAAGGGAGAATTTTCTGAGGGGTGCCAGACTTAGAGATTGCTTTAAGGGTAACCTCAGATTGGGGAGTGAGGGCATCCAGCCTTCTCTCCAGATGAGGGGACTTTCCTGAACAGCATGCCTCAAGGAGAGAGAAGAGGATTACATATATGGCTCCTGATGCAAAATACTGCAGCTGCAAGGGACTAAAGCAAGGGAATAAATGAGCATGGAACCTGGGGCCTTATAACCTGCTATTACAGTGAGTAATTTGTATAGTGAAGGTCTGATGAAAAGGGGATTGGTTATCTATCATCCCCAAGCATGTTTCCCTTTCAGGGGCCTGTCCAAACCATAGTTTGGCATTACAAGTCAGGGTGGGAGGAATTTGCAAGGTTATGTGAGAAAAAGAGTGAGGAAAAGTGTATTGATTACTTACGAACAATTGTGTGTCCCTTTACGTATTTTCTGCACTTGTTGATAGACAAGACATTCTTTTGCATGCTTTTTCATACTATGTGAGGTAAATAAAAGCCGTCCTATACTCAATGTGCATTTCATAATAAAAAAAAAATCAACAAAAGCTATGCTATACCCAATACAAATTTTATAAGGTCATAGGTCTGGAGCTGCCAGGAACCTCAAAGGCTGTCTAGTTTAACGTCCTCATTTTGCATTTTTAGTTTTGCCTCCAAGTCGCCCAGAGAGTAAGCATCAGAAACAGGATTTGAGCCCAACAATTCTGACTTCAGAGCTAGGGCTTTTTTCATGGTACTACATGTCTGTTACCTTGAGTTATTGTATGGGAACTTATACCTGTGGAGACTTCTTAGTGTTATTGTTCAGTTGTGTTTGACACTTTGGGAACCCATTTGGGGTTTTCTTGGCAGAGGTACTAGAGTGGTTTGTCATGTCTTTCTCTAGCTCATTTTACAGATGAGGAAACTGAGGCAAACTGGGTTAAATGACTTGCCCAGGGTCACACAACTGGTCTGTGTCTGAAGCCGGAGACCTAATTGGGAAAGAACAATATTTTGAAATTTCCTAGGGTAAGCTTTGGCTGGGGATGGATTATAACCATGAAAGATATAAAGGGTGCTTGTTTCCTGTGAGTAGAAGAGGTATCCTTCTGACTATATATATATATATATATATATATATATATATATATATATATATATATATATATATATATATATACACATACATATACATACACACACACACACATACATACATATCAAAGCATGGCTGAAACAGAGTAGGCAATATTTCATTCTTGGTAATTTTACACCCAACTATGACTATTACCTCCTAGCCCTCTCTTGCCGATAAATTTTGACCTCCTGCTATTGGTTGTACTAGGTAGGGGCAATGTGATGTAATAGAAAGAACATTGAATTAGGACTTGCGAGATCTGACTCCAAGTCATGAATCTTCCTCTTACTGTGTGAACTTCTTTAAGCCTCAGAGTCATCTTCTAAAAAGTGGAGATAATAATGTTCGTACAACTTAACCTCATGAGATTGTTGTGAGAATCAAATGAGACCGCGAAGTGCTTTGTAAACAATTAATTGCTTTATACATGTCAACCATTTCTTGTTCTGTAAGAAGAAAAATAGATCATGGAATCATAGCTGTAGAACTGGAAGAGATCTTAGAGGTCACAGTCCAACCTCCTCATTTTATAAACAAGGAGAATGAGGCTCAGGGTGATCAAATGACTTGTCAATGATCACACAGACATTAAGTGCAGAGTCAAGGTTCAAACCTGGGTCCTCTCCTAAATACAGTATTTTTGTTCCACAGCACCATGCTGCCTCCAGAGAGTACTTTCATGGAACATATTTCATAACAATTTATCTCAGAAGAATTTGGAGCTACTCAGGAGATTCAAATATCTAGAAACAAATCTCACGAAAATGATTACAGATTTTTCTATACCCTTATTTTCTGCTTTTTTCATCATCATACCACACATGTCAAGGCTAATTGGGTTCACGGCACTGAACTGTGTGTTTTCATTTTGACTTAAAGTGAATTTACTTTTTCCTTCATTCTCCATTCCACCCCATCTTCCACCCACTACCCCAGGGGCATTACCAATAGTTCTCTAAAATGTCATTTTTGACCTTTCCATCTTGATTTCCCTCTAAATAAGCTGGATGTAACTGGATACAAATGGATTGTTATTACTTGGATTTAATCTGACATCAAGATATTATCAGGATTTTTTTTTAATCCTCTAGAATCCTTGTGCTTTCTGAGTTCCAATACTCTTACTACTGGGTTTTAACTTGCTTGATGAGAAGCTAGGGAAAAGAGAGAGAGAGATGTGGAAAGAAATTAATCAACCAACAAGCAATTATTAAACATCTACAATGTACCAGGCACTGTACTAAATGAAGAGCGTGCAAATACAGTAAAGGAGTTATTATTCTGGAACATGGCTTCTCTGTCACCACGAGGAAAAAAAAACTAGGCATGGATTCGGGACTGGGATGTAGGTTTTTGTGTTCTATTTAAGGTGCTCAGTGTCTCAGGACTAACAGTCCTGGTGAAAATCCGACACTCCTTTCCTCCCTGGTCTGTCTTAGCATAACTAGTTCCTTCTTCTGCAAGATCTGATACCATCTGCCTTGCTTTAGGCATGGCATTTAAATCCTCCCTGTGTCTGCTCTCTGTCTCTTCCAAAGGTGCAGGGATACAAGAGGCATTCAGAGCCAAGGTCCAAGGAATGTGTCCGAGCTCCTCCGTGCAGAAGTGTATTAACCCCTACCTCCAAGTCTTTGCTTAAGGGCCAGAGCAACACTTCCGAAGGATGGCCCACCCCTGGCCGGTGATAGGCTGCTGAGAATAGCAACAGCCTGTGTCACTGGAAAGGGCAAAGCTTTCTGAAATAGAAACAAAAGTTGTTCACGAATCACTCCGGCTTGGCCTGAAGTTCCCCAGCCCCCCTCCCCCTAAGTTGTCCCCCACCCCCATTCTTCTGCTGTCACAGCCTCCTATGCCACGCTGCCATGGGGAAAGTAATTGCTCCAGTTTCTGTCGGCAGGGCAGGTTCTGGTCTCGCACACCCCGAGGAAAGACTGTAACTTGGAGATGACATGATAATGGTACCTGTTCAAAACGCTGAGGAGCCTAGCCGGCTGTGCCAGAAAATGAGAGCAGCCGAGAGTGACGGCAACGACAGCCCGGGCGGCGCTCGGCGGCAGCTTCCCGCTCCAAGAGGTAAAAAGGCACCCCCACCCCCTTCCCAGTCCCCCAAGCCGGGCCATGGACCCCGGGGTCTAGCGTAGCAAGCTCGGGGAACGCTGCTGCCCTAGGATGGCGCACCAGGATGGGACAGGGAGAGGTGTTCGGGAGCTGGGCGATTGGCGCTAAGACTCCTCCGAGGTACTGACCTTGTTTAAAGACAAAAGGTGAGCGGCGAGCAAAATCCCGGGGCTGCCCTTGGCCCTTTAGAGACTTGTCCCAGAAGCAATCAATCCCTTGGGTTGCGGGTTCTCTCATTCCTTAGAGTCGTGCAGTGGCATGCATACATTCTTCTCATGGTGGAAAAGTTTACCAGAAAAGTCAGAAAGACCTGTTCGCATTCATCTATCCATCCATTCCCATCCACCCCAGCGATCCATCCATTCCCCGGGCGGGGGTGGGGAGGGGGAACATTTCTCAGGGATTTCCATTTACTCTGTGGCACAATCACACTCTCCTAGAAAAGCGGATTGTTGGACGACAGTGTACTAGAGAGCGATGAGGCTTGGTTAAGTTTAATGGAAAATATACAGCGAAGTCATGTAGGAACATTCTTCCTCCACACACCCCCTTTTTCAAATTTCACACTTGCGCCTATTAGCAATGACTTTAAGCCTCCTTTTAAAGTCTGGACTGTCTTCTTGGAAGGAAACTTTTCCATTACTTTTGCTCATAAAGTTTCAGCTAATTCATTTCAGTTGTCTCCGTGAAAGAAAATTAACTTTCTTTGGCTCTAAAGTTACTTTGTTTTTAGTTTACATGCAGAAATTTCCAATGCCACACAGCAGGTTTCTGGCTCCCTCTCTTCGATCACTGCGTGCTCAAGAAATGAAAACTAATTTTGATATTAACCAAAGTCTAACATAATTGGATAAATCTGCTACTGAAAATAAAAATCATATTTCACATTCCAAAGACAAATCTGTGGGGGTCTTTTGTAACTAAGGGTGTGTATGTGTCAGAATATAATACACTCATTTGAGGATGTCATAATTTAAGTGTTCTGTAGCTAAACCTACATAATAATGAGTTCTTATAATGGGATTCTAGCATATTCCTGGATTTTTTAAAAAAAACGTTATTTAGGGTTTTAAAACAATCTTCAATGACTGAATGTTTCTTTGCTGAATGCTGTCTTCTACTAATAGATCATTCAGATTTGATTGTAATCCAGTTTGATCATTAGGACATCAACATTTCATTTCTCTTTATAAAATTCCAGAATATTTACATAGCTTCACATAAGAAAAATAACAGGTGATAGAGTAAGACATTTTAAAATATTATGCAGTAATTCATTATTATACTGCCTACTGTGTGCAGTATACTATTAGGTACTGGGAGAGATAGATTTATGAGACATGGTGTCTGCCCCATGGAAGTTCTTGATATACCAAGAGAGATAAGATATGGATATAATTAATTATAATATGAAATAGCATATGATTGATCTTATGAAAAAGTGAATGATATAGTAACTCTTGATTATCATAAGAATAATAATCGCTTAAGAGAATGTAAGGTCCTTGAGAGTCCCTTGCATATAGTAGGCACTTAAGCTTGTTAAACTGAATAATAAGTAGCACTTTAAGATGCACAAATAATGTTCTAAATAAACTTTATGAATTAGGTAATGCAAATACACTAGAGAAATTGAGACTCAGAGGTTAAGAGAATTATATGGGTATAACATCACCGATTATGTGCGTGGACAAAGGGTTTAGTTTACACTGTTGTGGAAAAATCAAATTGGTGATTAATGGAAAAAAATACATTTGGCCTTGGAATTCTTTTTTGTACTTATATTTGGTTTTTGAGTGTCTTATCTGTGAATTCAAAACTCTACTAGAGTAATGAAGTTCTACTGTTAAGACTAGGCTCAATGAATGGGAAAGCTCCCCAGATTTCCTATTCTCTACCTCTCCTTGCTTATTCTCTGATACTCACTTTAAATGGGAGTAAACAGTGTCACCTCTCATCAAGTTCCACCCCAAAGTAGAGCTGCCATTTCACTTTAAGTATATGCCCTTACTGTCTGGCTCACATCTTTCCTAAGGGTACCAATTTGGGATAAGAGTAAGTAGAAATAGTAGTAAATCAATAAAAGGGAGAAGGTGATAGTGTCACAAGAAAAAAGATTTGCCAGGAATGTGAATAAATTAACTGAATAATTGAAAACTGGTTACATAATTTTGGTGGTTTTGATAAAATGGTATATTTTTGATAGGCTCTAAAGCTGTACAACTTCATAAGCCTCTCAAAGAAATGCAAAATATAATTTATAAATGATGACATTTATATGGCTGATAGTATATTTACATTATCTATGCACTTTACTTATATCAAAATGTACCCCAAAATGTATTGAAATTGAATCCTTTGAGTATTAAAAATGGTAAGTGACTAGAGTGCTATGGATATTCCATTTATATTTTAAATACATTAATAATTTTTTTCTTATTAGGATTTTTAAATTTTCAGTCATTTCTAAAAGAAAAAAAACACCCTTCCATTCCCTTATAGACTGACTCCTCCTAGTAAACAAAGGAAAGCAGCAAAAACACCTGATACAATGACTACATCTAACAATGTAAACAATATTCCGCCCTCTAGTCCTTTGCCCATCTTCCGGGAGGAGGGACCTATGCTTAAATGAAACTATTATTATGTAGAAAAAGAGTAAAACTATTCCTTTCAAAAATCTTAACAACTGAATATCGCCTTGTTTTGCCTGCAAATGGGTTGGACTATAGCTGAATAGATGAACTAAATTATTAATAGGAACTTTTCTACACTGCCCAAGGCATGTGTGCGTAGCAAAGGCAATGATATATATGTTGCATGGTATGGTTACAGACATGTATGCTCTATATTAAAGAAAGATATTCTGTAAGACGGACAATTCATTCAATCTTTTTGGTCTTTAAAATTAAGAATGATAGTTCTACTTAATGAGAGGAGTCAGGAGGCTTGGATTCTTGGCTCAGCTGTAACATTAACTAGTTGTGTGACTTTGGACAAGTTAACCCAACCTCTCTCAATTTCCTCAGCTATAAAAAGGAAGGAATTAGATGAGATCTCTAAGGTCCCATCGAGCCCTAATATTATTTCAGATAATGTTTGCCTACCACTTTGAGCTTCCACTTGAAGGATCGACTCCTTTCTACTTCTCTATAGCATCTGTGACTTCTTGCATCAAAGTAATTTAGAACATTAATGATTATGAAGTGCCTAATGGAGGAAGGTTTCTCTATGTCTCTAGAGACAAAAACTGAGGCATGAAAAACGGTGAATTACACCATGAGGGCAGAGAGGTCATAGAATCATAGACTTAAGTCTGGAAGGGACCTCGTGGATACTTAGTCCAACCCTTTTGGTTTACAGATAAGGAATCTGAGATCTTGAGAAGGTAAGTGACTTGCCCAAGGTTATTCATACCCATGGTAAGAGTCAGGAATAGAATCCCAATCCTATGCCCTTTCTACTGCATATACCACACCCCCTCTGCTTGAGTATATTCTCACCTTGTGGCTCTCCCAAGCTTCTGTTATCACATCATACGGACTATTGACTCAAAAGATGCTCCTTCATGACCTTGAGGATACAATGGAAAGAACACTGACTCCAGAGTAAGAGAACTTGATTCAGATCCTGTCTTTTGATGCTTACTACCTGTGTGACCTTGGGCAAGTGATTTGGTTTATTCATGTGTAAAATGAAGGAATTGAGCTAGGTTGCCATGAAGGATCCTCCAGTTCCATGATCATGTGATCCTCGATGCTTCTCTGTCTCTGTCTCTCTTTCTGTCTCTGTCTCTCTCTGTCTCTGTCTCTTTGTGTCTGTCTCTCCACCTCTCTCTGTCTTTTTCTGTCCTCCCTCCTTTTCTTCTTCCTTCCTTTCTTCCTTCCTTTCTCTCCCTCCCTCTTGTTCCACTCTTTTTTCTTTCTTTCTTTCTTTTTCCTTCCTTCTTCCCTCTCTTTTTTCCTCCCTCTCTTTTCCCCTCCCTCTCTTTTTCCCTCCCTCTCTTTCTTTCTTTCTTTCTTTCTTTCTTTCTTTCTTTCTTTCTTTCTTTCTTTCTTTCTTTCTTTCTTTCTTTCTTTCTTCCTTTCTTTCTTTCTTTCTTCCTTCCTTCCTTCCTTCCTTTCTTTCTTTCTTCCTTTCTTTCATCCCAAGAGCTAGAATTCATTCTGGTATAATGGTTAGGTCATTGGACTTAAAATCAAGAGGATCTGGGTTTGTGCCTCCCCCCCACCCTCCCATTACCTTGTGACTCTAGATAAGTCACTTTATTTCCTTGGGACTTAATTTCCTCATGTATACAATTAGGAATTGAACTAGAGGGCCTCTGAGGTCTCATTAAGCTCTAGAACTATGATATGATCTTTTTCTCCCGCTGGTTTTCCTTTCTGCTTCCTTCTTTTAGAGAAGTAAGAAATATCACATACAGTATTCTATTCATTACACATGTAACTCCATCTTGCTTCAAGCTTGGGGCAGTTTCCTACAGGACACTCTTGTGATGTTGAGTGCTGTATTCACAGAGGAAGATGGTCCTTCGGATGGGTGAGAAACTTCTAAAGTAGAAAGACTCCAAATGGGCGAGAGGCAGGGCAGGATACCAAGCTTCCGTTGGTGAATGGGATACAGCACTTAGTGTTACAGGACTGTTCTTCTGTGAATTGTCTCAGTCTGGGGGTGAGTGAGGTTTCATATGTATACAAGGTTATAGCTTCATAATTTCTGGCACCTCAGTCAAGCCAACAGACTGATAGAAATTAGCCAGCCAAGACTCACAGATTTCAGGTGGAGCTTTGTATATAGAGACTACAATACAGGAAGGCTTCGCCACAGTTCTGTGCTTCAGGAAGGGATATCATCAGCTGGACGTGTCGGATTGCAGTGTATGTAATAGTGCCATATATGTGTATGAAGGATAAATCAGGTCATTTAAAATTTTTTTTAATTATAGGAGGCTTATGTAGTTCATTACCTGAACATATTTAAGCACTTAAAATTAGTTGTTATGTATACAACTTGAATAACAGCTTCACCAGTAGCATTTTTCCAATAAAAGTTATTTTAACACATGGCTAATAAAGTTCTATGACCTCTGTTAGACCACATTCTGATGTATCCGATGTACAGTTGCCATAGGTGGCTGAGGGTTGGGCCTCAATCCTGAGGGAGATCATTCCCCAAACTGAGGAAGGGCTTATTCTATAAAATTTTATGAGTTGAATGAAGTCAGGGCTGTTTCCTAATAGAAGGCTTTTTTAAAGAGGAGGATTATTGAATAAAATGTAATCATGAGGGTCTTTTGAATTAAATCAGGATTTTAATAGTGCTGAAGTTAGAAACTGAAATAAATCTTCTTTCCCACAGAGACTCCCCACCCCACCCCTCCATACATGTTAAGGATACATTTCTTGCTCACTTCTTTTCTCTAAAAATGTATTAAATCTAAGTTAAAGACTCATGAGTTAAAATCTTGTGAGATGCTTCCTGATTTAGCACCAGTTGAGAAAGATAATATTCACAATACATGTTCAAAAGTGTGCTGTTGTTTTCCTGGAAGATCTGGGTTTATTCATGACATAAAAGTTTTTCTCTCTTGATGCATCATATAGTATATTGGTGCCCAATCTTCCCTTAAGGCTAATATTGGGCACCATCTCTTTGGGCAAAGCCTTTTCTCCATCCTAGCTCTTTGGACTATTTCTCGGGAAATTTCTTTGTCTTTACTTATGTGCATGCATGTTGTATTCCTCACCCCAAGTAGAATGCAAACTCCTTGAGGACAGAGATTTGAT